AAAAAAAAAAAAACCCAAACAGATTCCTTTGATTTTATATGATAAATTGCAAGAAATAGAAATTATCAACGGCTTCGATCATTTCTTTAAAAATAGATTTATAAGCTAATAAAACAATATAGACCTAATAAACTTAAATTTGTTTTACCCCTATTTTCAAACTATTCTCGAATCCTTACAGAGTATAATTCAGGTTATTTTGCCACCTTTAGAAGTTGTCCGCATCCAATAGACGAAAAGGATTATATTGTATTTCTTTATCAATTTAAAATTTGCCATTACTGTGCATCCCTTACAGATTTATAACATTTTTTTTTATTCGGTTGTACTGATTACGAAACTTGAATTGTGGGGCCGGGGGGGGGGGGGGGGGGGGTGATCGAGGCTCTTTGCATCATCCCATATCCTCCCTTCATTTTTTTTTTTGGGGGGGGGGGAGTGAACTTTAAGGTCACTCTACATGATAGAAAAAACAGATTTTAAATATCATAAACTATTTTCTTAATTGTAATGGGTTTCATCAGTATAGTTATTGTTCAATACTGTAAAGACAGTGTAGGACACGGGCGAGCTGATGTGGATAGCGAATTTTTGGAATCATTGGAATTTTTATTTCAAAATAATTATAGCGCAAATTCCCTCACAGTCATCGTCCTTTCATTAAAACTAACGGTGTAGCGTTTTGGGAAAATAAACCTTGAATTTCTGGTACACCTGCCCTCGCTTTCTATCAGCACAAATAGTGAAGATATAGCAATTCTGATACAGAAAGAGAAAAAGATTTGCGAGCGAGCGAGCAAGCCAAAATAATGAAGTTTTTTCACAGAAATGTTTTTTCTTCTTTTTCATCCAGCATAATTCTATTGTCAAGGAGGGGTGTACAAATTGGCGATTATGGAGGAGGATTATTGTTTACTTTCCTTCATAAGACACAAAGTGTAATATACATGTTGGTCGCCTTTCTATCACAATGGATTACCATCTTTAACAGAAAGGAACTTGGATTATGATAATAATCGAGAACATACTTTGTGAGCAAGCGAGTGATCTGGAATTTGTTTTAAAACTTCGTCATAGAACGCTTGTTTTTATATCCAGAGATATTTTTTATTCATATATAGATTGACCTTTTAATTCCTCTTTTAAGAGAAAACTCTTAATAAGAGCGGCCTCTTGCTCGAACTCGTACTCGCACTCAGCATCCATGGTGGTATACAGTATATTACTACGGTACACATGCAATTGCAATCGCACGCAGCCTAGCCATGCGCCAGCATGCATGCATGCATGCAGCAAGCGGAGACCGTATACCACTCATAAACACGATACCTTCAGAATGGAACGATAGCTGCAAAACGAAACACTATCTGCCAGCCACTCTGCGTGGTGGGTTACAATATCTGCCGGCAGATTTTGTGACGGGAACAATATCTGCCGGCGGATTTTGTTCCGCGAACACGATCCGCCAGTCACACTAAACGCCGTCACACCGGTTCTAATAATGCATGTCTATTAATATTCCCTACACTTGCTGCAAGACGCCGAAGATGGCGTTATCAACGAACTCGTTCGCCCAGCTTAATCTGTCCGGTTCTTATCACCGAACTCATACGCCCACACACTTCGTGTGGTCGACCTTTAGTACCCGAGATTGAAATTGAGTAAACATCAATGATTTGTTTCAAAGTCCTAGCTGGTCTAGTAAGCATACTCACACGTTAGCTGACGTGACAATCATGAGCTGTATCGAAGTTTCACTTCACTTGCTTATGACATATCAAGTTGATTAGTCACAGTCCATGTCGCATACAGTGAACAACTAAAATATTCTTACCCCTGGTAAATTTAATATTTCTGTTTTGTTTTTTTTGTACCTCAAGAATGAATGGTTAACTGGTTGAATTAGGGCCTCAATGTAAGCATTAAGATGTCACATTCTGAAGAAACATAAGTTGGGACAAATCGTTTGTTCACACACTTAAAAATTACAAAAATTGGTAAGGGTACGAATAAATCAAATGAAAGCTCCATGATTTTCGGAGAAATCCAACCTCACCATCCGATTTCTATGAAATTAAACTTAGTCAAAATAAAGAGAGAAAATAAAGAGAGAAAATATTCTAGAATGCCATGAAAAAAATGAAGAAGATCCCAATTCCCCAAAACCAGCCTTTTCTTTAAAGGACAATGAGTTTCAAAGTCAATTATTTGTGTCTAAAATTCAAAGAGAATGAAACCCAAACATACAAAAGCTGGTACCAGTCGTAATCAAATTAAGAAATTTTAATATGAAGCCTATTTGATTACTTAGCTGATAAATTAATCCCTCCTAATATTTTGCATTTTCCTTGCTAGCCATTGTCCCATGGAAATTGTCATTTTGGGGTTCACTTGAAGAACGAGCAATACCAACGTATACCGGCCTAGTTGCGTTGAAATTAAATAATCAATACATTTGATCAGCTTATGAAAAAATAAATATAATATATGCATCTAGAATAACAGAAATCATACACAGATGCAGGGAAACAGATGCATCTATTTATTCGTTAAACGAGAGCGGTAAGGTGAAATAGAGGGATGTAGTGAGGGAGATGGGGCGGGAGGGGGACGGGTGTTCGTTGTGGTTCAGGAAAGATATGTCTAGGTCATGTGAATATATGCTGGAAACTCTGAAATAGCACCGACATACTACGGAAAATTCACAAGGTTATACAGTCATCGATTCCTGAAGGTAAAACTAATCAGCAATCGTATAATACATACATTATACCGATCTCACCGCCCCTCTCTCTCTCTCCGTTTCTATCTCTCTCTCTCTCTCTCTCTTTCTCTCTATATATATGTATATATATAAAAATGCGAGAATTCTCAACTCTGACATATATATATAAATCTATCTCTTACGTACGCTCAAGAGCTTGCTCTGACTGGATGATCGAGATATGATTTTAGATAATATATTCCTATCTACTTCGGGAAAATAAGAGCAAGTCGTTATCCAATCATGACAGAACAAACAAACACTTCATAATAGACCTCCTGGACTCAATATTGATAAAAAAAAATAAAGACAAACATTGCTTTAAATGAAAAATATCCATGCAGAACTATAAAAACTACCTGAATTGTATCAATTATATTTCTTGAATTCTCTCTGCGTCAAGAGGCATATCCGCTGTATGCTGAAAAGTTAGTTTAAATTTATGTTGTTATTTTTTTTAACGTGGATACAACGTACGTGTGATCCTTATTAGCAGCACCTTATTCAACCCATACCTGAGTGTTTGGAGCCAGAAGGACGTTAAATCTATGTTTAAACAGAATGATATAACACCCTTCTGGCTTCAAACAGACGTAGTGATGCTGTATCAAGAGTCACAGTACGGACTACGTAAACACGGTTACTCGACTGACATGTTGAAATATCAAAAAAACTATGCAATGCAGCGGTCATGAATTAGCACATCATGCTTGTATGTTCAATGGTGTTAAATGAGGAGATAATAATGACGATAGTAGTAGTAGATATAGTAGCAGTAGTAATAACAGAAATAATAATAAAAGAGTAATAATATAACAATAGTCGGTTCTTGTGTATGCCAGACGTGACCATATTGAATGCTCACGATTTATGAGTGTGAAGATTAGGAGTGATTTCAAATTATTTGGTAAGGTAATATTCACTTGAACCACAAGCATGATACGTATGGATGAAAACGTGAAGATTAAATAATTGTGTAATATCACACTATATATATGGTTAATATCCATAAAGTCTAAAAATCATTTGATGATTATTATTTATGATTACATGGTTATTAGACTATATGAAAAGTGCACACAAATGTGCATTAAACAAACTGGGTATTAGACCCCCCCCCCCCTGGAAATTAGACTAAAATGTGCAATAGGCCAAATGGGTAGTAGACTTATTGGAGATTAGACCGAATGGAAATTACACGAAATGAGAATTAACCCAAATGGTCATTAGACCGAATAATAAGTGGATGAAATGAATATTAAATCATGTAGATAGTACTCGGGCTGGGTGTAGACCATATTGAAGTAGACTAATTGGGTAGAAGACAAACTGGTTGTAGATAATGCCACACACATCCGAAATAGAACAAACAGAAGTTATGTATACATGTTTGTAAGAAAGGTTTGAAAAAATTAAGCATTGGAATTGTTCATCTTCACTGCTTCGTATTTTCACTCTCTTCTCGTTAATGTAATACCAATTAGAGCTACTGATGCATGTCACTTGTGCAAGCTCTGCTATCAACACGAGAAAGTGATAACGGTATGAGCTCCGATGGGCGTGGCGGATCATCATCATCATCATCAGACATCGTTCGCTCCATCATGAGAAGTCCTGTTCTCAGAGGAAGTAAACGGAGGTCGGCTCCAGTCATTCAAACGAGCCAATAGGCTTCCCCGTACGATACGGCCACCGACACTCATTGGTAGAACAAGCCCTCTCATTAGACGATGAGAATGGTGAACTATGGAAGCTACCAATTAGTCCGCCTTTCAATCTTGACGTACGAAAAACACGACAAAGGGCAGCTCAGGGATCACGAGTCTAATCAATGCACATACATTTAACTGTAAAAGGAAAACATAAAAGGATGCATCAATTTAAACGGCCACCAAAACCAATCGTAAAATCATACAGTATATTGAATTATACGATTCATAGGCTTTTTAATGCAATAATTTCGGCAACAGTGAAAATACAAAGTGCGTGGCCTATTGACCCTATCCTTACTAATAAGATGGTTCGCTCCAATCAATACAAATACAACTGCATTACTAAATATAATCTAATCTGGTTTTAAAGATTGATTACTAGTTGATGTCCTTTGGAACCAATTATCACTGGAGTCTATAAAAGCCATATCTTGAACAATAAACATTTGCCTTGCGAGAATATACTGATTGAATTAACTGCATTAGGTTGTACTCATTCATACGTAGGCAGGTAGTCATTAAACATGGCTTCTTCAAACGCCGATTTGAAGACGAGGATTGCTACATTACGACACGAAATCTTGTCGTACAAACCAGGCAAGGCTGTATCTTGTGATGATGAACGAGTGGTGTTTCCTGATAAGCTTGTCGTTGGTATGATTGATCCGTTCAGGTATGCGCTCGACATAGTCCCTGCTCTGAGACGCGTTCTTCATGGAGACGTTAAGCCGAGTAAGCATGCTGATACACGACAAACATCTACTGAGGATCAGAAGGAATATCTGACCGATTCTATATCTGTCATCACGAGCATTGGCTTTACGGGTTTGTATATTGAAAAAGAAATGCAATGTTGATTTTATTTGTGTTTGTTTGTTGAAAACAATTCAAATGAAACTACACCTCTGAGATGAAAAATGTAACTTGGGTATGTTTTTATCCGTATCCTATAATCATAAAGTCGGAGGTATGTTTTGGGTTAAATGTTGAATCTTATGACCAAATTCTGTCTTGGCAAACATTTGTAAAAAATAGCTGTGAGGTAAAATTGCGATACTATCCAAACTGTGCTTAAAATTACGTTCACTTTCATAGATAACACGAACTAATCACAATCCTGAATACGTTATCCAGCAATGTAATACATATACTCAGTCGCTTTGAATGCTAAAGCATGTTTGCTAGATTAGTGTTGTCTTGTTTGTATATTGAAGGTATAAACCATGACATACGCCAGTGTAACCCGTGAACTATTGGCATCATCCAACATATACCATCTGAAAGGGGGAATTATGTGAACACTTGCGTTCTCTTATAAAGTCATTGATTTAACAGTAAACAAATAAAACTCTTCGAATTCGTATTACAAGGCACAAATTAAACATATGGAGCGCAGTATATCTTCTTCTTTTTTAAAGAATGGAATAAAAACAAACGAATATGCGTAAGTCATTGATGAAATTAACATGTCAGCTATAATAAACAATTATTAGTTAGATGATATTTATGTTTCACTGTGACTATATACCTGACCTGGCTGATATAATTAGTTTGGAGACTACCAGGAAGGTAATATACATAGGCTTACACGTGTGGATGTCAATTGTGGAAACATGTTTTCCAACATTGTCAATCGTCATATCATCATATTGGGATTATTAACAAGGAACTGCGAATAATTATATAACTGAGCCTTTTCTCTCTCAAAAGCATATGGGGATACAAATACGAGGCCCTTAAACAAGCATTTCTCAAATACATTTTCAATATCATGAAGCTTAAACAGTGTTAACATATAGATGCACACATTTCATGAAAGAGAGTGATGTCTAAGACTTTTCAAACTTCCTCATTTTGTTCATGTCGTTATTGGTGTTTCTATTTCTGGCTTTTGAATTGTACCATTACTAACCACTACAAGGCTTACAAAATTATCACATGACATTATACTTATGGGCCTACATAGATTCATAGATTCATAGATTCATCATAATTGTGGCTCCCCTTTCTTAGGATGCCGGGTTCCACGACTTTCAAACCCATGTAAGGTTCTCTTCATGAAGCGCATTCTGTTCACTGTTTTTGTTATCACAAAATTATTTCCTTAAATTTTATCGCACAAACGATTCATTCATTTGTATTTTTCTGGCATATTGCATGCAATTTATAGAACTACCTCAGCTTGTATACTTTGTTCTCTCTCTACTTCTTCATGTAGGCTAAATGTCATGTTCATAGTATTAACAATGTTCATCATGCACAACGTATAAACACGTTCTCTCTTGTTATCTTACACTATGAACATGACAGACAAAGAAAGCAAACAAAATATACAGTTCCTCAGGTAGACAAAGGAACATCCCTTCACTGCTATTATGTAAAAAAGTGAATATGCATGTGACACCTGTTCTACACATTTGTATATAATAGCAGTGAAGGGATGTTCCTTTATCTACCTGAGGAACTGTATATTTTGTCCGCTCTCTTTGTCCGTCATATTCATAGTGTTACCAGGTTCCTTCGAAAGAAATGTACAAGACCTTGCTGGGAAAGTTGGATGTATGGTGCTGTTATTTGAGTGAGTATTATTTTGTTTCGCTCGCCATATTGACATGGACCGTATATACTTTTGACTGAAACCAAATCATATAATTCTTCATCGCAAATCTGAAGAACACTATCATTTACAAAAATAGAAGACATATGTTTTAGCGCTTTGATCGAAATTCCACAAACCCGCATATTAATAAAAAGAAACAAGTTATTGCAAATTAATCAATTAATCAATTAGGACTGACACAGGGGCTGTGATATTGAAATTTAACAGAAAACTCAGTCACTAGGTCCTCTCATTTCGTCATACACAAAACGATATCAAATAATAATTTCAAGAACAAGTTTATTGCTATAATTTTTATCGGGTGGGTTGCTTCTCTGAATTGTTTTTTTTCTTCATAGCACCTTGCAAATTAAAGCGCGATTTACCAAACCTAATTCAGTAAAAAAAAGCGTGAAAAAATAGCAAATGCGAGAAGTACATACGCGGAGGGCATCGTCAAGCATTTCGGCTTCCAAATTCATAAAAATCAATTCCGTAAAATCGATCGTAGAAGCCTAATTGGTACAGAAAATTAAACACCTGTATCGCAGAATATAGTGACCTGCCAGTGTCACGAATAAGATTTCAAAATATGCTCATCTGACCGTGATTAAGTGCCTAAAATCCCTGAGCTTCCAGGGGCTCCGCCTCTTAGACCCCACGCCAATTCACGCTTAGTCTAGTTCTGGACCCTTTATATTGATTGTTTTATTCGCCGACTATACGCATTAAGCCGAGTGATGGCGCGATCCCGAGAACCGGTCCAGAAAAGCAGGTAATTTTCGGGCATTTCGAAGATAATTTTTTTTTTTCGAACGACGAAGTTATTTAAAGCTTCACAACATGTGGCATTCAGAAGGAAAGAAAAAAAGAACGAAAGGAAATGAACTCACTTTTGTTTTAATCATTATCAACAATGGTGTATACACGGGAGAGGCAGAAGATGCAGGGAGGTATAAAGGTAAGAAAGAGAAGAGGAAAAAGTATAACAAAATATTTCCCGGAATAAGTATAGGCACCAAAGTACAAAGCAAATGGTGCACTGGAAAACGGCTTTTTTAAGTTTTAAAACACAATCATTTTCAAAATCATGGTCGCTTTGAGAGTGTAATTCAAAACTGGAAAGTCTTCTGTCCGATTGCAGGGTATTTCGACTTTCCATTTTTCGGGCAATCATCACCTCATCATTATTTACGATTTTGTTCAAATAATGAAATAGCACCAAGTTGGAGGTTCCATGAGTCAATCACTCGCAAAATGTATACACATAATGGACTCATCCCCCAATGGCAATACTTATACGTCTTTGACATCAGTAGGTGGTGCCTTGGGATATTTCTATGGGTAAAATGCATAAGAAATTGTGCTTTTTGTTTAGGGTTACAATTCATGAAACAATATACCGTTCAATCTCTTTGTTTACTCGCTTATATAGTAACGTGAATTTTGGGCGGAGGGGGGGGGGGAGCAATTTTAAAATATCTAGATACCACACTTGTTATCAGCTTCGTCTTTTAAAACAAGTTTTTACAAAGAAATTAATTATTAGTAAATTCATTTTTCATTAGCAGTAGCATGCACCGTTTCTGGATGACTCGAGGTAGTCGAATGTCACATGACCTCATACAAAATCTAGATTTTTCCAAGATCTTGGTCCCTGTAAGAAGATGCAGCTATTAGCCTCAAAACTACATGAGTTGTTAGATTTGTTCATGTTTTATTGAGACACATTTTAGTTAGTTCAATATAGTAGTATTTATTTCCATAGAAAAGCATATACAATGTAACAATATAACAATACAAAATAAGATAACAAGGAATCTTTCCTTCACATAGTGAATAGACATATTATAAAGACGTGAAAATCGTGGCCCAGGACGTTGACATTACTCAGGCAGGGCCTAACATGTAAACATATACATACAAACATATATACTTGTTCTAAGATCATTAGCAGTCAGAAGTATCAGTTATAATATGAAAAATTAATTATGGGGTTCGTTCAATCTAAAAATATAATAATATTTATGTAATGTAGAACGTAATGGTAAAGTTTAGCGGAGAAGGAGGATGAAGTGGGAAAAGGGAGGAAGAGAGACATAGCAAAGGAGAGAGACGGAGAGAATGAATTTACAACAGATTTCTTAATTGCATCTCACGGAGAATAAGCTGTATCGTATTATACACACATTTGTTATAAAAGTTGACTTATCATTATTTAAAGAGTTCTCATGAATTTTGTAGTAAAAATTTTGGTCATTTGCTTCTAAATAATCACACATTTGAGTTGCTATAAAAGGTACATTGCATAGTTTACATTTATAGTTTATTCATAGTTTACAATTGATGATAAACTCGATTAAATTTAAAATCACTGATTTGTTTGTTGTTGTTAAAAGAATTAATGTCCAAGTATATATTTTGGTAGTTGACAAATACAATTGTAGCATCGAATTTCATTATTTAGTAATTGATTTGATAAAAATTGACACAAAATATACTTTCCAATTTCAATTCAGTCATAGACTTCAAACTATATAATTATATCAGTATATATCAATATCTAACATTCAGCTGTTATATTCGTGTCCTCCTGGTTCCTACACGTATTTTTCACATCTATAGGCTGTTATTGGAGGAGTGGAGGTAATGTCCATGCTGGGTCTTGTCTTGCATGGAAGATTGAAAATGATGACACTACAGCCATTTTTGAAATTTGATTTGACAGGGTTTTGGCGGTTACGTTTGCGTTAGCCATTTTGATTAGTGATTTAAGTGACTGAAAGTTGTGGTTTGTTAGTAGACCGCGACTCCCGACTTCGAATGCTATAAGGGATACATCAAAATTGCGGGCCGAAATGTCATGAATCAGGGGGGGCATATTTATTACATTTATACTCATGGGCCTTGGAAATATTAAGGTCGAATGGGACAGTTAGTTCAAAGATGAGCAGTTTCTATCGATAAATGCATTACACATTAACGAAAGAGGGAAATAAATCACCATCAAGCTCCTGTCCAACAAATTATTGGAACTCACTGTTAGAGCCGACAATGCGGCAGTTCAGAACGCAATGCAAACTCTAAGGAAATTAGTATATGAATAACTATATGATACTATTATAAGAATAGA